CCAATAAAAGATGAGTTTTTTACCCTCCTTGGCCTCAGGGGGACTTCTATGCCCAAAGCAAACAAGTCATTTTATGACACTTTTACTTGAGAAAGAGTTCCGTTCAGAAATGGTTCTTTATTTAAGTCTTTTATCTCACTTGGACCTTACAACTTTTGAAGCAGCCTTTACAGTTTCCCTTTTGGCAGATGTTTTAGTTTTTTTTTTTTTTTTTTTTTTTCTGTTGCTGTGATTTAAAAAAAAAAAAAAAACCCTGACAAAAGTAACGTAAGGAAGAAAGGGTTTATTCTGGCTCATAGTTCAAGGGTACAGTCCATCATGGTGGGGAAGGCAAAGCATGAGGAGTTCAAAGCAGCTGATCACATTCACTCACAATCAGGAAGAAGAGAGCAATGAATATCCAGCTTGCTTTTTCCTTTTTAGTCCATTAACTTCAGACATGGAATTGTGCCACCCACAGTGGGCTGGCAGTCCCATTTCAATTAACCTAATCTAGATAACACCTCACAGGTGTGCCTTGTCTCCTAAGTGAGTCTAGATTCTGACAAATTGACAATAAGCACTAACATTCGCAACTAATGAGGAGACTGATCTTTACAAAGTAAAAGAACAGACTCTTATAATAGATAAGATGACTCCAGGCCTCTTTCCTAAGCACTCCACTCTACTGTCTTCTCAGGAATAGCCTCTTTCAGTTTATACCTTGGGGTTTCCAGGCTAAGGTTGGTTGGGGAAGAGTATCTTGAAAGCCCAAGGACAGAGAAGGGGATAGCCAGGGCGGCTGGAGCTGTCCATGGTGCTGACACCTTTAGTAGGCATGAAACTGGAGGGCCAGAAGATGGCATGGGGAAAAGAAAGTAGAGCAATTGATGTCCTGACAGATCCCCTGCCCATGAGGAGGAGTGAAAAGGTGTCAACCTCAAATTTGAGGCACCTCATGTTGAAATGAAAACCTGAGTGTACAGTACCTGGTAAGGTAGGGATTTGCTGTCAAGACTGAATTTTAACGAGTATTGTATAGCTATACTAGTCATCAATATCTGGTAATACCCTTGGTACAAGTTGGTAAATAGTTATTGATTGAATGCTTCACTTCAGTGATTGCTCCCCCAGTCCCTTCCTTACATACCCAGGATCTCCCATAATCCAAGAAATAAAGAGTTAAGATCTGGCACAATGTGGGTTCTAAGTCACTGCTGTGGCTCTAATTCAGTGCCTGTACCTTACTAATGTCAGATGTTTTGACTACAATCCCAGTTTGTCCTAATTTTATAGATGAGTAAAGGGAGGCTTTGCAATTTTCCTGACATTGCTTAGCTATTAAAAGATGGAACTAGGCTGGGCATAGTGGTGCATGCCTTTAATCCCAGCACTTGGGAGGCAGAGGCAGGCGGATCTCTGTGAGTTCAAGGCCAGCCTGGTCTACATAGTGAGTTCTAGGACAGCTGGGGCTACAGGGAGACCCTGTCTCAAAAAGACCAAAATAAAGAGATGGAACTAGGACTTGAACTTGAGTTTTCTGAGTCTTAACATTGTGTTTATTTACCTCCACTATCTTATCTTGTCTTGAGTGTTTTCTACTTTGTGGTGTGTTAGAGGCTAGGTAGAGAGAGAAAGTTATGTAGGGAGGTGAGGTTACATAGATGAGTTAGAAAACCACATATGGGTCCCAGGCAGGTTGAAACTCTTTCCTTTGAATTATCTTGCCATATGACAGCTGCAATGCTTAATCTTCATTGTCAGTTTGGTTGGATTTAAAACCCCTTAGGAGACATACCTCTGGGTGTGTCTGTATGGGCTTTCCAAGAAAGAATTAACCAGTAGAGGAGACTTATCCTAAATGTGGGTGGCACCATCCATGGGCCTAAATAAAAGGGGGAAAAGTAGGAATCTCGGCATTTCCCTTTCTCTGCTTCCTGGTCTGTTATTATGTGAAGAATCCCAGACATACACTCTCACTGCCTTGAACTCTGCTATGCCTTCCCCACCATGATGGACTATATCTTCTCAAATTTTAAGCCAAAATAAATCTTTCTTCATTTAAGTTGCTTCTATCAAGTATTTTGTTACAGCAATGAAAAAGTAGCTAATACACCAGCTTCCCCCCAAACCTTTCAGTTTTGGAGGGACAGCCTTGTCAGCTACTAGTGTTGGAGATGGGTGGACTTCTCAGCTGGTCAGCAGAGCACCCTGGTATTTCCTTTTGGCTTTCTCCTCAGGGCAGCAAAGCAGCCTTTTTCCTGGAGAAACAAAGGAGGAGGTTTGTGGAAAGGAGAAAATGCCCCTTTCCAAGTTTACTTCAGAGAGGCTGAGGCTGGTAGGAAGGTACACAGAAAGTTGAGTGGCTTTTTAGGGAAACCTGTTTTGGGAGGGGAGAGAGAGAGAGAGAGAGAGAGAGAGAGAGAGAGAGAGAGAGAGAGAGAGAGAGAGAGAGAAAGAGAGAGGAGAATATATGTGTGCATTTGTGCATGTATGTGTATTAGCATTGTGTGTATGAGTGTGTGTGTGTGTGTGTGTGTGTGAGTCTGTTGACTGTTTAATCACTCAGTCTTCTTCACATTATCTTTTGGAAATTATCCCCAACAAAACCAAGCATGTGGCAAGTGCCTGTATCCCCAGCACTCAGAAAGCTGAGGCAGGAGGATTGCAAGTGTGAAGCCAGCCTAGGATGCAAATTGAGAGCCTGTCTCAAATAACAAACAAAAATAAGAAAAATAAAAATATGCCCAACAAACACATGAGGAAACTGAGGCTCAGAGAGATCCTGTGACTTTCTGAAAGCCACACAGTGAGAAAAGAATAAGGGTTAATCCTAGACCTGCCTAATTTCTCAGTTCAGAATCTTCTTTATTGGGGGGGGGTGAGAGGTGATTAGAAAAGACTTGGAAAGAAAGCTTAACATGGATATTTTGTACACATTTGAGCACAAGTCACTAAGTGTACTTTGTCCCACAGCTCCAGAACCCAGGCCAGGGGGTCTCAGGTTGTTTCTCACCCATATTCCTTCATTTTCCTACAATCCTGGTGCTCATCAAGGTCCTGTATTATTGCTCACCTTCATTCATAGCTTTGAACCAAATAGTGTTTGTCTCATTGAGTGTGGAGAGGACATGATCACCAGGACCCAACACCTATTATCTCCTAGAATCTAGGTGCCTAATAAAGGGCTGTCCAAAGCAAGCCTAGATTCTGCTTCCTCCTACTCACACCTAGAGCCTAGCCATCCCTCTTCCAGGCTATTCACCTTTCTGGGTAAAGTCCAGTTGGCTGGCCTCTCCCTGGGGGTCCCCATGTAAGTTGAGGTCACTCCTGCAGAGCTTCCAGGAGGCAGTTAGGATCCCACTGAGCATAGGCCACGGGGCCTGCTGACAGAAGGAACCATCTTCTTTCATTGTTCCAGGTTTAGAATTCACCTAGTTATGAACAGGCAAGAACATCCATTGTGTGTGTGTGTGTGTGTGTGTGTGTGTGTGTGTGTGTGTGTAAATCCTCTCATGAAGAGACCGAAGGACGTATGGCTCTTTGTACAAGTTTTTCTTCTTCATCATGTTTTTCTTGTAATTCTCACTAAATCCTGGTTCAAGGGTCAGTGCTCTTGATTTCTTTTTGGCATAAAAATGAAAAAGTGTCTTTCTTTGTCTCTAAGGCCCAGCTGAGTCAGGCTGATTAAAACAGAACTTGGGGAAAAACAAAAAAGAAATCATTATAGGAACTATAAACAGCGTAAAAGTTGTCACGTCCAAAGTACAGGTTTCAGATTCTGAGAATCCCGTTAAAACCAGAAAACACTCACTGAGTTCTACATTCCTTAATCCCTAGAGAATTTCAGGCTTAATCAGGCTGGCATGACTTAACTAGCCTCTGGTCCTGCCTCTTTCCCTGCAGTCCTGCTCGCCTCTAGTCATGTGGCCTCCCAAGCCAACTCTGGTCACTTTGTCATCTCAGTCCATTTTCTACCTTCCACAAGTGAACCCCAGCTCTCCAAAATACTAGTTTATTTTCTGAGTTTATCCCTAGCTCTTTAAGCTCTCTCTCTCTTGCTCTCGCTCTCACTCTCACTCTCTCTATAACCATACCACACCCTTTTCATTCTGGGAAAAATGGGTTCATGGTCCAGGCAGTAAAACACCTTTAATTGCCAAAGAAGAATGAACTTTGAGATTTTCTGCTTTGATTACCTAGTCATTACCCAGGTGAGACCTTTTCCACAACATGCACACCTAACATGGACTTTGGGGCTTCCAAAAATCCCTATTATATGTAACATCCTCTTCGTACATTAACTTTTGGTTGTCTTCAAAAGAATTTATTCACCTTGATGTTGGACCAGAAGAACTGCTGGAAGAAAATGCTAGAGACCTTCTGTCCCTAGCAGAAGGAACACATTTACAAAGCAGTATGCAAATAAGAAATAACGACAGGCTGCTTTCAAGTGAACAATTGCAATCACAGGGAATGAGGCCAGAGCCTAAATGAACAACCCCTGTCCCATGAGAACAGGCGTGAAACCCATTTGTACCCAATCAAAGAAGTAGTTTGTGAATATGGCCAACTAAAGTAATGATTGTTAGGACGTCTCAAGAATTAAAGAACTTTGTTTATCATGCCTGGACTGTAGAAACCCACACTCACTACCACAAAAAAAGTCGGGGATGAGCGTTATGGAGATTAAACTTGGGCACCACTGACTTGGGGTTGTAGCTTAGTGATGGGGCTCTTGCCAGCATGCTGAGGGCTCCGTTGATTCTTAGCACCAAAAAAGAAAGAGAAAGGAAGAAAGAAAGAAGAAGAAGAGAGGAGACGGAAGGAAAGAAGAGGGGAGGACAAAAAAGGAGAGGAGGAGAGAGAAGAGAAAAAAGAAATCGACAGGCCTTTCGCTTTCTCTGAAACTTGGCTCTTTGGGGCTGCCGTCGTTGCCCTGGGATACCAAGAGACGCTGTGTCCCGCGCGTCCAGTATCTATGGAGACAGCACAGCTGCTTGTTTGAGTTCTGAGCGTTGGATTACAGAGGCGAGAGTGGCAAGGAAGGTATTTGTACCGGACCCCTTCCTCCGCGACAGCGTCCTCTCCGCGCCCTACTGAATGTCCTGTGAAACCGAGACTTGGACGAGATTAACTGGACCCTGGAGTCGGGAGACAAGAGGAACCGCTCTAAGTATACTTTGTCCCTTTCCTTCTACCGGTTTCTTCCTCAACTCTACTTGGCGACATCCCACTTTTTCCACCCATCATTTTGGGAATTTTTAAGATCGGAAATTTAGGCAAATAAAGGAAGCTGGTGATATGCCTTTTCTTGAGATTAGAAAATTGATTTGAAACAAAATCAAAAGCAAAACATAAAAAATAAAAACAAAAAAAGAAAACAGAAAGGCGCCCTCTCTTCACAATAATTGTAGATGTGTCAGTTTTTGGAGGAGGGGCTGCATGCTAAGCGGGGAAGTTATGATTGTTACAGTGACGGTTTGTTTAGTACTTTTGCAAATTCCCTTTCATTTGAGCTTCATTTTAACTTTGTAAAAGAGCCAGGACAACCCTCGTTTTACAGGCGAGGAGACTGAGGCTTGGAAGATGGGGAAATTTTAGTACTCTGAAGAGTTTAGGGGCAAGGCTCACTGTCCTAAGCCCGAGCTGGACCAGTTTTCTACCCCAATCGCCTCTCATCTGTTCTCTGCGGTCTCCGGGATGGACTGATGTGTTGGGCGGAGACTTTTTCAGCGAGGGAGGAGTTATAGGCAGAATCCGCTGAAGTTGGAGACAAGAGCGAATAAAGGCAGGACGGCAAAACTATCCAATAGCAGAAAACTAACAGAACCCTCCTCTTCCCCTTCCCAAATTGTGTTTCTAGGATTCTGCCTGAACATCCACTTTACAGCTGAAGGTAGGAGCCTTGCCTGTTCTATGTCTAGCAGGGTATCTGCTATGTAGTAAGCACTCAGTAAATGCTTTGTGAATGAATGAGTGAATGCACGAATGAGGGTGAGAATCTAAGGTAGTTCTCCCAGGGGTTGAAAAACCCTGTAGGAACAAATGAGTCAACAGAATCTTTCACTGGCTGATGGAGAGGGACTAAGAGGGTTTCTGCAGGAAGTGTGTAAATTCCTAAAGGTGCTCAGGAGATTGTTTGCTAAATCTGAATACATTATAATATGAGAAGCTTAACCAACAACTTGAAAAGGGAGAATTTTAGATAAATAAGAGTCAAGTCACATGCAATAAACTGTTGTAAGGATTGAAATGCCTGTGAAACCTTACAACACTGCCTGGCACATAAATTCTCAGTAGATGTCAGATGAAATTGATGCTATTTTTTTTTTTTTTTGAGAATGTTGCTTGAAGAAGTGAGGAAGGATAAGTAGTGCATAATATATACATATATTCAAAATAAGTATTAGAGCCCTGCTGTCCAGTGTGGTAACCACTAGCCAACTCCAGCTATTGAGGACTTAAAATATGGGCAGTCTGAATTGAGATTAATTGCCAGTATAAGATGTGCACCTTGGGACTGGAGAGATGGCTCTGCTGTTAAGAGCACTTGCTACTCTTTCTAAGGACCGGAGTTTGGTTCCCAGCACCCATGTCAGCAGGCTCACAACTGCTGGTACACTGGTGCTAGGGGATCTGATGCCCTATTCTGGCCTCTGAGGGCACTCAAATGCAAGTGGCATAAACTCACACAAACACACATAAATAAAAATAAATCTCTTTTCAAAAGGTGCACACCTGATTTCAGACTTAGAAGAAAAAAGAATGTGAAACATCTCAGCAATTTTGTTACAGTTATATATTAAATAATAGTATTTTATACAGTGGATTAAATAAAATATATTACTAATTTCACTTTTTTCTTACTTTTAAAATGTGGCTACTAGACATTTTGGGGGGGTCTTTTTGAGACGGTCTCCCTGTAGCCCCAGCTGTCCTGGAACTCATTATGTAGACCAGGCTGGCCTTGAACTCACAGAGATCCACCTGCCTCTGCCTCCCAAGTGCTGGGATTAAAGGCGTGTGCCACCATGCCCAGCTATCATTTTATATTACATATGTTGCTCGCAGTAAGTTTGGGAAGGGGCAGAGCCATGTTTGGTGACTTCCTGGGTGATGGCTCCATATTGAATATAAAGAGAAATTAAAGTTTAGTACTTTGAAGTGAATCATTGTAGAGGTCATCAAACTTCTCCCACCTGTGCCTGAACAGGGCTGGAAGCAGATGGAGCTTGGAGCAGATGAGTGTGGAAACTGTTCATCTCTTTAATAGATTGCAGAGTCATAGCACATTCCTGTGTATACATGCTAGAGGAAGCCCATTAAAGGAGGAGGAAATAAAAGGTGATGGAACCAAGACCCCAGATGTTTTGTGATCCTTAGAGCAAGGCTAAGCAAGCACACTTTTAAAAAAATTTTTTAGTTAAGTGTTTTTTTCTTTACAATTGAGCTTTTGTACATTTCATACAACAGTTCTTAATCAATTTTAGACCACCTCTCCCCACCACTTGACCTCATGCATACAGGTTAAATCCTATCCTGTCAAGCATTTGTACCCAAATGTCCTTTGGTGCAAGTTCATCCGCTGGAGTCTAGTCAGCCTATCTAGCGATTGTAGGGAAGGTCTGTTCTCCTTCACCCGGTAGTAATCAGTCTCCAATGGTTCCCAGGATGGGGCTGGCCTGACACTCATTTCCCTTGATAGCTCTCATAGTTGTAGAGGAAACTACGCAAGCTGCTAAGAGAAAAAAAATCAATCAATAGTCCAATGCAGCCCTAAAGCCTCATAACCATAATGACTGGCACAGCAAACTACTTCTATTGGTGTTATCTGGGGGTTAATCAACAGCTATCTAATTGGACTTAAAGCCCTCTCAATGGGAGTGAACTCGTAGGTGGCACTGTAAACACAGTCAAATACACATGACTGGAGAGGTCATAGATCCTGGAGAAAAACAAGCATCTTTTTGAACATTTGGTGAAACCTATAGATTCTCTTCCTTAAAGTCAGCACCTGTACATATGCTTCTGCATGATATTTTGCATAAATTTACATAAAACATTAGCACATAACTTCCAGCTGCATTCTGTCCAGGGAACCTATCCTTCTTCTCTAGAGGTTGATTCATTTAGTCTCTAATCAGTCCTTTATTCCATTCACCGTTTACTTTAAACTTGGACTACAAGGTGTGTTCTGAAAGAGGAACCTCAGAAGATCAAGAACCTGGGGGCTGGAGAGATGGCTCAGCAGTTAAGAGCACTGACTGCTCTTGCAGAGGACCTGGCTTCAATTCCCAGCATCCACATGGTGGCTATGAACTGTCCTTAACGCCGGTTCCACGGGAATCCGAAGCCCTCTTCTGACTTCCACGGCATTGTACGACACAGGTGCACTCACATACATGCATAAAATACACTCATACACATAAAATAAAAATAAATTTAAAAAAAAGATCAAGAACCTGCCAGTCTCATTTGCCTTTTCTTTGCCCATTATTCCTTTTCTAACAGCAGGCAAAGCACATTCCAAGGAAACAAGCTCAGAGTAAAAGCTAAGGGAAATGCATGGATTTTGCTGACCCTTCCCGCCCCCTCTCCCGCATTACGGGCTTGTTAGGTAATGCCAGGTATGGCCATGGAGGGACATGGCTACAGGAATCTTATCCCAAAACTTCCTTTCATGTAGTTTCCTGAGTGATGCTCTAGGGCCCTTGGCAAAGCCCTGGATCCTTTGTCCAGCCTCATTTCTCATGGTGCCACCTTATACCCCTTTGCCAGAGCTAGAAAACAGGGCTTCTCCTCCATCTCGATGTTGGTCATGGTGTGTCTTCCCCATCAACTCTCATTTTCAAGCTCCATTTATCGCTGCTCTTCTCCCAGCTCCAGACTCATATGTGGATTGGTAGGAACTTCTGACTTGGCTGGAGTGTTCCTGGCTAGAGTGTGCCCTTGACTTCGAGTTCTAAGAATCCAATGCTGACCCAGTCAAACCCAACCTCCACCATGAGGCCCAGGGACAGTGGAGACTGCACTGTGAATACTATGAATGAGGGATCATACTTGAATGCCACCACACAGGGAAGCAGCAGTGTCACTACCCAGGTGAGGAAGGGGTCAGGGTGGTAAATCAAGGTGTGGCAAAGCCAGATAGGGGCATGGTGACAGGGCAGTAGAGTGGGAATCTGAGGGACTGACTCTCCAATATACACTCCAGAACTAGCCCCTGCCTAGATGGAGCACTGGGCAGACTGGAGTGCTGGACGCATTGGAGTGGGAACTGTGATGGAGAGGAGGGAGAGACAAGTGGAGGCTGGGGAGGTGGACAGTGTTTCTTCGCTCAGGAAGCTTTTAGCCTTGGCTCCTGGGACTCTGTGCTTGACAAATATGTGGAAGTTGTTTGCTTTTTGTAACTTATTCTCTCTGTGTGACATTGATGCTGTTCAGGGGAGTGATAATGGAGTACGACTGTGTGTTTGGTGTGATGTAATGCTTGTTATTTGTGAAATGATGTAGTGTGTCTGTGGGGGTGGGGTGGCATCTGCCTCCTTAGATGTAAGGAGGCATGTATTACATTCATCTGCCTGTGGACCTACCCTTCCATCTGTGCCATCCTAGACCTGTTGGCCTTTGGATTCTATCATGCCTTCCTCCTGTGCTCTGAACTGGCAGGAGATTAGATTAGAAGGTGAGAGGAAGGGAGAAGCCAAGGTATTTTTCTTGTTCTCTCTCTCTCCCTCCCTCTCTCCCTCTCTTATCTCTGAGACAGGGTCTCCCTGTAGCCCCAGCTGGCCTGGAACTCACTATGTAGACCAGGCTGGCCTTAATCACACAGAGATTTGCCTGCCTCTGTCTCCTGAGTTCTGGGATTAAAGACATGTGCCACCACACCTGGGTTTTCTTGCTGTCTTGATGGTGTCTGTATTAGCAGATGCATCTCCCCATGGATCCCTTCTGACAAGATGGGCCTCAAGACTCCAACAGCCCTACTCCTCTCCTCTTACCTTAATGTGATAATGGTCTATCTATCATCTATCTATCTATCTATCTATCTATCTATCTACCATCAATCATCTATCTACCATCTATCTATCTATCTTATATAATTTTCATTTGTGTTTATTCATTGTACATAGCACTGGGTGACATAAGAACATTTTTGTGTAACTATCTAATGTACTTTGAGCGTACCCTCCCCAGTACTCTACCCTTCTCTCGTCCTCCCTTCCCTTCTCTCCTGAGTTCCTTTGTTCCCCTAGACAATTTCACTTCTCCTTTCATGCCAAATGTACATACATGACTCTGTGTATCTACATAGAATATAGGAACTACAGATGAGAGAAAACATATGCTATTTGTCTTTCTGAGAATCAGTTAATTCAATTAACATGGTTCTCACCAGTCATATCAATTTCACTATAAATAATATAATTTCATTCTTCTTTATGGTTGAAAAAGTTACATTGTGTATATTGACCACATTTGCTCTACCAATTCTTCTACTGGACACCTATGTTGGTTCAATAACTTAGCTGTTGTGAATAGTGCTGCAGTACACATTAAGGTCCAAGTATCTCTTTCCTTTGGGTAAATGCCCAGGAGTGGTACAGCTGGGTCATATGGTAGATCTTTTTTAAGCTTTGTGTGTGCGTGTACACGTGCACATATGAGTGTCAAGGCCAGAAGTCAACACCAAGTATCTTCTGCTCTCCATCTTATTTATTATTTTTATTTTATGTGTATGAGTATATTGCCTTCATGTATGTAAGTGTTGTACAATGCCCATGGAGGTCAGAAGAGGGCATCAGATCCCATGGAACTGGAGTTACAGATAGTTGTTGGCTGCCATGTGGATGCTGGGAACTGAACCAGGGTTCTCTGCAAGAGCAGCCAGTGCTCTTCACCATTGAACCATCTCTCCAGCTCTACTTTATTTTTTGAGAAAGAGTCTTTGTTTGAACCTGGAGTTCACCATTTCAGAAGACTGGCTGACCAGCAACCCCCTGGAATCTGCCTGTCCCTTCTACACCAGTGCTAGCATTACAGACACATGCTACTGATACGGCTTTTATACGTGGGTGCTGGGGATCAAACTCAAGTCCTCCTGTTTACATGGCAAACACTTTGCCAATTGAGCCATCCCACAAGGCCCTTTTTTTTTGAGGAATCTTCATATTGATTTCCATAGAAACTGGACTATTTTGGATGCACAGCAGCAGCATATGAGGCTTCTCTTTTGTCTACATCCTCATCAGTATTTGTTATGGTGGCCACTTCTGGATGCCATTAGCCCACAGGTTGCTTCACTGCCCTGATTGTGTATTGCATTCCTTGTATTGTGTGTGTGTGTGTGTGTGTGTATCTGTGATATGTATGTGTGCATGTGTGTATGTGCTCACCCATTCAGACATGTGTGGAGGCCAGAGGTCAATATCAAGTGGCTTCCTTTTTTCACTCTCCACCTTATTTTTTGAGACAGGGTCCCCTCATTGAACCAGGAACTTGGCTAGACATTTTGGCTAGACTGACTGGCTCTAGTAAAGCCCCTGGGATTTGCCTATCTCTACTCCACCCCCTAGTACTAAGATTACAGGTGCATACCACTGCAACCAACAGCCAGCTTTTCATGGGTGCTGGGTATCTGAACTCAGTTCCTCATGTTCGCTCAGTAAGCACTTCACCTACTGAGTCCAGGTGCGCTGCTTTAAACACCAGGGTGCCTTCTTTTTTCCTGGTTGGATCCTGACTGATGCACTACTGATATCTAAAATGAATTACAATGCCCCATCCATGCCACCTTTCCTCCATAGGCAATCTGGGAAAGAAAATATCATGTTGGTCAATCAATGTTCTTAGTAAATATTGAAATTGAGAAGGTAAGCTCCAAGAGAGAAGGAATTTGTAGGTCTTGTTCACCATTGTAAGCCAAGCACCTAGCACAGTGTCTGGTGCATGATGGTTAACAAATATTTGCTGAATGGATGACTACATCCTGTGTTATATAATAGTAGACAAGCAATATTTGGTCCAATATAAAATAACAGTGAGCCAAGTGTTCATGGCAATGACTGTGGTAGGAAGAGGTATCCAGTTTATCCTTCTTCCACCTTACTGCTGCAGACGGTTTCCATCCCTCTCAATCTTTGAAGGATTTTCCCATTATAGACAGGGAAACACTGGCACACCGAGTCTTGAGCAGATCTTAGAATGGCCTAGGAGGGCATGGGTAGGAGTTGGTGACAGGCCAACTGACTCCTTCTTCTGCTTTAACAGCCAGTCAAGGGATGGGAGAGGGAACTGTGGAATGTGCTACAATATGGAAAAGTGGCTAGGATAGACCATTCCAGCTTGGAGAGGCTTCTATAGAGCAGGGCAGGTTGGGGAAGAGGAGGAAATGAAGGCTCCTAAGGTAGAGATGCTTGAAAATGGCTAAGGGATAGAACCCACCAGCCAAGACTACATTTATGAACCTCATAGAGTGGCTGTATGGGGTGGCCCAGATATATTTCATGGGCAAACTGTTCCAGTGACCTTAGAAGTAATGATGCCTCACTCCAAGGCCTACCTGTTCCTTACCGGCAAGGGATGTCATCTGTTATGTGCTTAGAAGGAGAGATGGAGATGGAAGATGTTAGCCTATTCTCTGAGTCTTTGTATAAGGACTTTACATCCCCCTAATGCAGCCTTTCTTTTCCCCTTTTCCCTGCCACCTGAACAGCTTGCCAGCTCTATGGGCACTCAAATATGCACAGCAAGGAATCAAAACAAAGTGAAGAACAGAGTTGTATGGGGCATTGAGGTCACAGAGGAGCTGCAGTGGAAAGGCTGGGAGCTGGGGAAGGAGACCACAAGGAACCTGGTTCTGAAAAACCTCTCTTTGAAAATCCAGAAGATGAAGTACAGGTACCAGAGTGAGAAACCAGGGACCCAGCCCCTGATCTCTCAAGTCACCAAAGGATTCTCTTTAAAACCAAGACAACTAGCTGGACATGGTGGCACATGTGTTTAATTTCAGCACTTGGGAGGCAGAGGCAGGTGGATCTCTGTGATTTCAAGGCCAGCCTGATCTACATAGTGAATCCCAGGCTGGCTGGGGCTACAGGGAGACCCAGTCTCAAAAAGGCAAAAACAAAACAAAACAGCCTTTTAAAATGTTACACAGAGGGGCTGGAGAGATGGCTCAGCAGATAAGAGCACTGACTCCTCTTGCAGAGGACCCAGTTTAGGTCCCAGCACCCATATGGTGGCTCATAACCACACCTAACTTAAGTTCCAGAGTATCCTATGCCTTCTTCTGGCATCTGTGGGCATTGCACACACTTGTTGCACTTACATGCAGGCAGAACACTCATACATACACTAAAAATAAATAGATAAGTAACAATTAAAATGTTACACAGAGTCAGAAGAATGTTCAAAACATGTGCAGTTTGAAGAATCTTAGAAAGTGGAACTCAAGGCCAGACTAAACCATACAATAATGACAGTCTAAAGTCAACCTTCTCCCATCATGGGACCTTCCCGCCTATAGAGAACCACTATCCTGTCTTCTGTATTAATGACTTCTTGCTTTTCTCAACTGGATTTACCACATGTGTTGCCATCCCTAAATAATATGGTTTAGTTTACCTTATGAACTTTAAATAAACGAATATGGTATGCTTTTGTAAATTCTCCCACCCTTTTTTAAACTCAATTTTTTCTTTTTTATGGTGCTGGGGATTGAACCTAGAGCCTTGTACATCCTAGGCAAGAGTTCTACCACTGAGCTGTATCTCTGACCCTTTTTTTTAGTTTTTGTTTTTTAAACAGGATTTCACTAAGTTGACCAGGCTGCTCTTGAACTCACTCTATAGCCCAGGCAGTCCTTGAACTTGTGATCTTCCTGCCTCAGCCTCCAGAATAGGTAGGATTATAGGCCTGTGCCACCAGAAACTATTGTTCACTTATTTCTGTAAAACTCATCCACATGCAGCCATAGTTCATCTCTTTTCATAGTGTCTAGTACTGCTCTATGCCTTCCCCATGACATACACATCCAATCTTCTGTTGGGGGAATGTTTAGAATGTTCCCAGTTTGGGATTGTTACCAACAATGTTCTGTTACCCAAGTACAGGAAGTTTTCTGGGATGTCAACATAGGACTAGATTTGATGAAACTTAGTAGTTTCATCTACTTTTTGTAGATGAAATTAATCTATTTCCCAAAGTATAGAGATAGGATCTATTACTATTCCCACCAGCAGCATATGAGAGTTCTGTGCTTCTGTGTCCATTCCAAAGAGTACCAGGACTGGGATTGTACAATTCTGAGAGGAATGATAATTTGTAGATCTAATGTGAATTCTCTAATTGCTGATTCCCTAATTACTAAGGAGGATGAATATCTTTTGCTAGGTTTTTGATCATTTTCAGTTCTTCATTTGTGTGAGTCGTGTTGAAATCTGTGTCCATTTTTCTATATGAAGATTATTTCTTTATTGTTTTTCTTTCATTTTGTATGAGTTCTTATCTTGGATACTACTTCTTTATCAGTTATGAGTTGTGGCTATGTTTCTCACCTGGCAACTTATCTTTTGATTTTTTGTTGTGTTTTTTGAAGATAGAAGTTCTTGCAGGAATTGATGACACAGGTCTATAATCCCAGTACTTGGGAGGAGGAGGCAGGAGTTTAAGGTCATCCTTAGCTACATAGCAAGTTCAAGGCTAGTCTGGACTATATGATATTCTGTCTCAAAAAAAAAAAGAACAATAAACTAAACTAACAACCAAACAGAATAGATGTTCTTAATTTCAAAAGAATAAAGTTTATCAATCTTTTTGTTTTATGACTGGTACTTTTTTTGTATCTTTCTTAAGAACCCCTTCTATACCTCCAGGTAATGAATACATTTCCTTATGGTATTTTCTAAAGATGTCCTAGTTTTAACTTTAAGATTTGTCTTCTGCTGGGCATGGTGGCGCACACCTTTAATCCTAGCACTTGAGAGGCAGAGGCAGGCTGGGCTACAGGGAGACTCTGTCTCAAAAAAACAAAGCAACAACAAAAAAATTGTCTTCTATTTAGATGGAACTATTTTGGGGGCTGTTATAAATTTTTTATTGAACTTTTGCAAATTTCATATGACATTTTGATCATATTTAGATCCCTCCCTTATCTATACCACCCTTACTACTCCCCTCCTAATTTCATGTACTCTATTATATATACATGTGATACATATGTGTACATATATATATACATGTATAATATATATGTTTAAGGTCTAGTAAGTCAAATTTGTGTCCCCAAATGCCCTTCAGTGTCGATCTATCCACTAGAGCCTGGTCAACCTACCCTGTGTTACAACCTAAAGAAAACTGACTCTCCCTTCCCCAGTATCTATCAGTTCCTAATAGTTGCTCAGCTAGTGTTGGGGCTTCTTATCCACTTCCCCACTTCTCTGTTGGGATTTTTGCTTGGCTTGAGCTTACATGGGTCTTGTACATGCTGTCACCATTGCTGTAAGTTCATGTGAGTATCTGCCCAGCTATCTGGAAAACTCTATTTCCTTGTGGTCACAACCACCCCTGGCTCTAACAGTCTTTACCCCTCTCTTCCCCAATGATCCCTGAGCCTTGAGAGGCAAGGGTTTGCTACAGGTGTGCTATTCAGGGATAAGTACTCTGCAGTCGCTTATTCTCTGCACTTTGGCCAGTTGTAGGTTAGTGCTAATCACCATCTGTTGCAAGAGGGAGCTTCTCTGGTGAAAACTGAAAGATTACTTCATTGGGTTAGGGAACTCATGGGTCTGGGGCATGCACAGATCCAAGTGGACCTGAGCACTGAGATGGCTGGGCAGAAGAAGACTTGAAATACGGAACTCACTGGGTGGTTTGAGGGAACTCTGGAATTGTTTTTTTGTGAATGGTTTGAAGTAGGAACCTGATGACTATCCTCAATGGAATGCCCAATTAACTTCAGCACCATTATTGAAAAGTTTATACACACTCTGACAGTTTCCCATACCACCAACATATATCAGCTGTCTACATATGTGTGGGCCCATATCTGGACTCCACTTTGTGCCCCTGATCTACTTGTATAATCCTGGACTTAACTATTAGAACCTAAATTAATTATTAGAGAGTTTATAGAAAATTTTGATATCTGGTCATATAATCCTCTATTATTCTTTCTCAAGATTGACTCGAACTTTAATTTAAAAAATCTTCGGCTGGGCATGGCACATGCCTTTAATTAACCTCAGCACTCTGGAGGCAGAGACAGGTGGATCTCTGTGAATTCAAGGCCAGCCTAGTCTACATAGTGAGTTCCAGGCCAGCTGGGGCTACAGGGAGACTTTCTCAAAAAGACCAAAAAAAAAAAATCTTCGAATCAGCTTATTATACATGCACATAATTATTTATGATTTTATTGAGATTTAATTGAACCTACAAATGGGTTTAGGGAGAATACATATTACAATAGTGAGTCTTCCTGCTTCCAATTCCCTTGTGGTGGTCCTCTTCCAAGTGGTGGGGTTATAGGTACGAGCCATCATAACTAGGTTTTTCTAGTATTTTTAGTGTAAAAATATTCATATATTTTACTTTGATTTGTGCACATGTATGTTTGTACACATATGGGGGGGTGCCCGCAAAGCCAAAAGAGGGCGTTGGATCCCCTGGAGCTGGAGTTACATGCTGTCATGAGCTGCTTGATGTGGATGCTTGGAATCGGGTCCTCTAAAAGAGCACCTAGCATTCCTAACCACAAAGCCAACTCTCTGGCCCCTAACATTTTAATTGATACAGCATTTGTTTTGTTTTTTTTCCCTCTCTTATTAATATGGTAGATTATGTTATCTGATTTTTTACCTTAAACTAGCCATGTATCTCTGGATAATTCTAACAGTAAGTTCCTTTGGCTACTACTGTTTTGTTTCTGAATAAAAGGGACCTGTAGTTTTCTTTTCCTCTGCTTCTGTTAGGTTGGGTAATAACACATGAATTGTTTTTCTTCAAACACCAGGTAGGACTTGCTGTGAAGCCATCTGGTCTCTGTGGGAAGATTTTTGCCCACCTTTTCTATTTCTTGGATGATTTTAGGTAGAATGACCATACAACTCCTTGTATAATTCTTGAGTCAGTTTAGTGAGCTACATTTTCTTAGGATGTGTTTTGCTTCATCTAAATTTACTCATCCATTGGTTCAGTCATTGGCAACATTGTGCTCCAAAAGTTGCCACCCCTGTGCTCCCACCCTTCCTGGGACTCTACATCTTTGTATCCCTGGCTCTTTCCTTCCCAGTCTTGACTCACCCATGCTACATGTTTAAAAATCAGGATGCCCCCACACAGCAGCTAACAACTGTCTGTAACGCCAGTTCCAGGAGATCCGACAGCCTCTTCTGTCCTCGTCCGCATTGTACGTCACAGGTGCACTTACCTATGTGCAGGCAATACATGCATACACATAAAATAAAAATAATAAATAAAAAAATTTTTTGGTCTTTTTTGAGACAGGGTCTCCCTGTAGTCCCAGCTGACCTGAACTCACTATGTAGACCAGGCTGGCCTTGAACTCAACTATCCACCTGCCTCTGCCTCCAGAGTGCTGGGTTCAAAGGTGTGCACCACCACACCAGGCATAAATAAAATATTTTTAAAAATCAGGAGGGCTTGTTCCTACCTGTCCCCATGCTTATCATCTTCAGCAGAGACACAAATCTTGATGTGAAAAACTGTAGAAATAAGAGTTCAGAGCTGGGTGTGGAGTTGCACACTTGGAGGATCAAGAATTCAAGACATGAGGCGATCCGGGTGTGTGGACTCACAGGAGGCAGCTCGTGGCGCCCGGCAGCACAGGACTGCTCAAGATGTCATACATGCTCCCGCATCTGCACAATGGCTGGCAGGTAGACCAGGCCATTCTCTCGGAGGAGGACCGCGTGGTCGTCATTCGTTTCGGACATGACTGGGACCCCATCTGCATAAGATGGACAAGGTTCTGTACAGCATTGCCGAAAAGAAATGGAAGATAGTGGGAGATTTTCCTCATCTTGTATGAGCCCTGTTTGGATATCCCAGCTGTTTTAAAGCTGTTGGTGTCGGTGGTGTCACTTGTGCCCTGTGGCATCCTCTCTGGTTCTCCACAGCCTGGCAGGGTTTCTTCCTGCCGCCAAAATGAACATCCGCCTGTGCTCAGCCAGATGACCTGATGAACATGCAACACTGCAACCTCCTTTGCCTTCCTGAGAATTACCAGATGAAATACCATTTCTACCATGGCGTGTCCTGGCCCTGGTTCTACATTGCTGAGGACGAAGATGGGAAGACTGTGGGCTATGTCCTGGCCAAAATGGAGGAGGATCCTGATGGTGTCCCCATGGATATATCACCTCACTAACTGTGAAACATTCACACCGGTGCTTTGGCCTGGCTCAGAAGCTAATGGATCAGGCCTCATGGGCCATGATAAAGAACTTTAGTGCTAAGTATGTATCTCTGCATGTCAGGAAGAGTAACTGGGCAGCCTTTCACCTTTATTCTAACACCCTCAGCTTCCAGGTTAGTGAGGTAGAGCCCAAGTACTATGCAGATGGGGAGGATGCTTACCCTATGAAGACGGATCTCACCCAGATGGCAGATGAGTTGAGATGGCAGATGGTGCTGAAGAAGAGCAGATACGTGGTTCTGGGCTCCAGGGAAAACCAGGAGACTCAGGGCAGCACACTTCCTGGTTCTGAAGAGGCCCATGAGCAGGAGAACCTGGCTGGAGATGACAGTGGCAGTGACAGCAAAGACAGCGCTGATGTCCAGGACAGCTCACAGGACTTGGATTCTGCCTCCTAGATCCTGCTTGAGCACCACAACTTGCATTTGAGCCACATTTGTCATCTTAACTGCTCTGCAGTATCTGCTTTGGGGTCATCTCAGAGTGACCTGAATGACTTGCCATTTTCAACTCTCAACAGCCACCTTCCATGTACCCTGCTGTGATCATGAAGGCATACCTGGACACAGAACCTGCTGTGCAAGAGCTAAGGAAGTCTGAGGACTGCCGTGACAGAATCTTCCCTGGCTCACACTGTGCTGCCATTATTTTGTTAGCAGTTGTCCTGCACTGGATTGTGGTTACCCAAGAGGTTCCCTCTTAACAATGCCAAACCAGAAGCAGGATGACTCTGGAAGCTCCCCAGCTTTCAGCATTGCCATTATTTATCTGGGTTTTCATTCTTAGAATAGTGTCCAAGCTGAGCATCAAGTTAGTCCTCATGTCCCCTCTCTCTTTTCTGGTGGACGTTACCTATTCTTGCTTTCTCTGGAAACTGCATATGTCCTGTCCTCCTCTTTGAGGAAGAATTTTTCCCTTTCCCAGTGGGAGAAGGTGACAAAGTAGACTTGCACACAAGCAGAAGTTGAATATTTTAAGAAAAGGACAAGCAGTAATTAAGTTGCAGCTTCTAATCTGAAAAAAGTACAAAAAAGAAAAAAAAGAATTCAAGACATGTCTCATCTATACAGTGAGTTTAAGGTCAGCTCGTGCCATACAAGACCCTGTCTCAAAACAAACTCATTCTCTCTCTCTCTCTCTCTCTCTCTCTCTCTCTCTCTCTCTCTCAGGATGTAGCTTAGTTGGTAGAGTGCTTGCCTAGCAGCCACAAAGCCTAGATTCCATTTCCAACACTGCATAAACAGGGCATGGTGGCACATGCCTGTAATCCCAGAAATGGAAAGGTGGAAGCAGGAGGATCAGGGGTTCAAGGCCACTGTCCACTACATAAGGAGTTCAAATACAGCCTGGGATACCCGAGACTCTGTCTCAAAAGCATAAAATAAAATAGGGGGAGGAGGAAGGAGACAGATCCATTTGTAATGCAACCCCTTTAGCTCAATAGAGCTTCTTCAATCTTCCTGCCTCCAAAGATGGTTCTGAGCCCAGATCTGAAGGGCTTATCACCTGGCTCTTTCCTGCAGGCCTCCCAAGACCAAGTTCTTCTTCACAGTCATCCCTCAACCCATTTTCCTGAGCCCAGGCATAACCTTCACACTTCCCATCATCTTCCGGCCTCTGGAAGAGGTGAGGTCTGCCAGACAAGCAATGGAGTGTGGAGAGGGACAAGGGAACAGAGACCTCACAATAGGGGGGAGGTCTAAACAGCAAGGATCTCCCCACCACCCATCTTTCCAGTTTTAGAAAAGCTCCAGTTTAAGCCAGGTGTGGTGGTATATGCCTATAATCCCAGTACTTGGGAGGAGGTAGAGGCAGGTGCATCTATGACTTTAAGGCCAGCCTGGTCTATGTAGCTAGTTCAGGTCAGCCACAGCTACAAAGACGTAAAAGCCCTCAACAAACAAACAAACAAAAATCCCTCTATCTTAGACCTCAAAAGGGGCCCAATCTTCAGTCTCATTCTGTTGGGTATGGGGTATGGGAGCATGAAGACTGTAATATGTTTTAGCCATCAGAAAGCTCTAAATCCTGTAACTTCTTGATTGCTGCAAACTTCTTCAAAATTATCTGTAAAACATTTTTCTTTGAGACTCCGTTAGGTTGAGTCAGTCTCGCTACACTGTCTTTGAAACCCTAGGCTCAAGCAATCCTCCTGCCTCAGTTTCCTAAGTTCCTACAATCACAGGTGCATGCCATTGCATCTGGTTCCTCAAAATTCCTTGCTTGCCACAAAATTGGCTCTTATCCCTGAGATCAAAAGGAATAGGAGTTCAGGAAGCTGCCTTCTCTCAGACTGATATGGTAGGCTACAGCCTAGCCCATCTGCCATTGTTAGAGGGATAGCTTAGGAGAGGTGGGTTGTGTGGTCCCTGAGTATCATGTGGGTACTGCTGGCCAATGACTGTCTCTCCCCTTTCTTCCTGTCCTGCAGAAGGAATACATGGATGAGCTATGGTTTGAGAAAGAAGAGGGAATATTCCGTGTGTCCCTGAGGGCAACCTTGCCTTTCCACAAACTAATCTGCCCACTATCCCTGCAGCTGCCCATGTGTGCCATTGGGGATACAGTGGAGACATGGTTCTGCCTGAACAACGTGGGGTGAGGAAGGAAGCTGAGACTCCGGGGTAGCAAGAACAAGCCCCAAGAGGAGGGCTGTAGAGAGCAGGGGAGATGAGTTTATGCCAGTGGGGAGCAGAGAGAGATGCCCAGAACCTCAGAACCTGACTTCCCCCTCATCCTTAGGGACCTGCCCACCTTCTTCACCTGGGAAGTTCCAAACCCATTCCAGATACTTCCTACCACGGGGTTACTGGAGCCAGGCCTGGCCTGTAAGATCAAAGTGACCTTTGAGCCTCTGATGGCTGTCATCTATGAAGCTGAGGCCATGTGCTGCTATGGGAAGGGCAGCAAGCAGAAAAGAATCATCCAGTTGCAGGCTGCAGGTAAGCTCACCTTCCCATCTGTTCCCCAAGCCATCTGCTGCCCTCCCTGGGTTCCAGGTCTCAGTGTGTCCCCATGCCCCCCCCAACCAGTTTCTGTCATCCTCCCTGCCCCAGGCTTTGTTTACCATCGAGTCATAAGCTGGGGACACATGCCTTCTAGGGACTATTCGGCTGGGGCTACAGAGACCTTGATAGGTCCTGCCCCCTCCCAGACATCTCCCATCTCTGCTACAGGTAAGTGTGCACAGCTCCTGGTAAGCATAAAACACAAGCGGCCAGAGGACCAGGATGATGACGGCTTCCAGAAGGTTTTATACTTTGGCTCTATCTCTGTGGGCTGCACCTTGGAGCGGCATATCAGGCTGTATAACCCATCTTCGGTATGCATGACCCTGGGAAGGGGTAGGTGGGAGGGGAGAGACAGGATTCAGGGACCCTAAGACTGGCTTCCCTTACAGCCCATCCTCCTTCCTGTCCACCCTAAGACCCGAAGCCTTGCATGCTCCTGTCTGTTGATACCCACATGTGTCAATAGCTGTCAACAGGTGTCTCTCTCTCTCTTCTCTGCTGGATCTGGGTTCAGATATCCTGTAGCCCCCTCATGAGTGTCCTAGGGTAGTTCTGATAGTATCTTTGGAGGAAGAAAAAGATGCTCCCCTCTGGACAGTCCTGAGATGGAGACACAGCTTGGCCCCTTCCTCCTGGTGGAGGTGGTGTTACCTTACCCTCACACAGGGAAGAGAGACCAGACTGGATGCCAGTTGCTCCTGATCCCTGGCCTATGATGTACAGACAGCTCAGACCTGTGACCTTCCCACCTGGCCTCACAGGTTAATGCTCCCTTCAAGATCGAAATGGCCCCAGACAGGCTGACCAAAGACCAGGCCTTCTCATGCTCCACGAGCCATGGCATCATTCCCCCAGGAGGGAAGAAATGCGTGTCGGTGTTCTTCCACCCCAAGACCTTGGACAGCAGAACCATGGACTACTTCTCCATTGTGCCTTCTGGTTGTGCCTCCCAAACTCTCCTCCAAGTCGTGGGTTTCTGTAGAGGTATTGACCAGCCCGGGAGACTGTACTCCCCAGAACATGAACAGCCCAGGAGGGAATCATTCCCTCCAGCTCCCCACCTGCCTGCTTCTGAGTGACCTTGCCTCCTGGCCCCTCAGCCTGGGTATCTGCTGCCCCCTGGTGGCCCTATGAGAAAGTGCTGTGGCTACCTGCAGGCTGTAGGAGCCCTGGACCTTATCCGGCCTGGCCATCTGGCTCCAGGCAGCACCCCATCCCAGCAGTGGAACCCCTTCTGAGACATTCTCTGAGGCTGTTACCCCAGCCCCAGCCAAATGTCAGAGCCCCCTCAGAGGGACCCATCTCCTATGCCTAGGTCCTGATGTGTCCCTGCAGCGCTGCTGCATCAACTTCAGCTGGGTCAAGCTCGGGGAGCATGCAGAACAGACCCTGTGGATTGAGAACAAGTCAGAATGCTTGGCTCACTTCCAGTTTGATATTGACTGCCAGGAGAGTGTCTTTAGTATCAGGCCTGCCTTTGGAACCCTGGCAGGCAAGGCCCGAATAACCCTGCACTGTGCCTACCAGCCCACTCATCCCATCATCTGCTTCAGGCGAGTAGCCTGTCTCATCCATCACCAGGTGAGTGATGTGGAATGGAGGATAGAGGTAAGAGGTCCTTCTGTCTGGTGAGAGGCCATGAGACTAATCGATGAAGACAAAACTTGATGAGCACTCCCCTCTTTCCTGTAATTTCTGAAGCAGGCCTCTTTCAGGGCCTCTGCTCTGGCTTTTAGAGGCAGAGCATGGCCAGGGGTGCGTGAAGGCTCACTGAGTCAATTGGGTATGCTAAGCTTACCCTGAGTGCTGCCAGGCCAGAGGCTTTGCTGCTTCTGCAGCTACTGCAGCTGGTAGGCTGAGACTAGGGAACTTAGGGCATCATGCCACATAGCATATGCAGGGTAGGACTTCAAAGCTAGGCCCCAAGCCCAACTCCTTGGGCACATGATGTTTTAACTGTGGTACCTGGACACAATGACAAAGTTGGGGCTGCAATGTAGCCTAGAATCCTTCCTCAACTGTGCTCAGGGATGTACTCCCCCCACCTGGGGAAGGGGGATTTTCCCTAAGTCCCACATAGGCACAAATATGAGCTCTGGGAAACCTTGAGACAGAAGGACAGCCCTGGTTTCTGGCACCCCAACCTCTGGGTGAGGCTTTTAAAATGCTGGTCTGGTGGGCTCCTGACTGGCACTGATGGGCAAAAGAATGCCCAGGAGCCATGGACAGTGAGAGGAAGGGCAGACAATAGATGATCATCATGTCTCCAGGCCTGGGCTTTTCTCCAACTTGCCCTGAACTTCTGCTATCTCCTCAGCTAGAAGGAAGCTTTCAGGATGCTCCCCCACCTGCCTCCTTTCAGCCTCTGTCCCCTATGTATGCTCAGTCTAACCCCCAGCATCTCCTTGCTTCACCACCTACCCTGTGTCTTGTCCTACATGAATAAATGTCACAGGACCCACTGTTTTTGGACCTCATTGGGACCTGCCACTCAGACAGTACCAAGCCAGCCATCCTGAGGTCCCAGCACCTCACTTGGTACCGCACACACCTGGCTCGGGGCCTGATACTCTACCCCCCTGACATCCTGGCTGCCATGTTGAAGGATAAGAAGCTGGAACAGGATAAGAACGGGGCTCTCATGCTGCCCACTGAGGTATGTGGAGCCTTCTTGCCCCCATGAGATCAGATGGTCTTCCTCAGGTTCCTGCGCCTACTAGCAGTTGTTGGGCAGTCCTCTGTCTCCAGATCCCTGGGCACCACTGTAGCTGGGGTTGACCTGGATGAAGCTGTTGAAGTCTTTTCTGAAAAGAAAGGGACTGAAAAGGGCAATAGCAGGAGGAATAGCAATTGAACTCTGTCCTAGTCTCTCCCTGTGCAGGATTTGGAGGATATGCCAGCCCCACAGTACCCCTACATCCCCCCCATGATGGAGTACTTTTTTGATGGCACCAGCGACTTGGCCATCTTTCCCCCGGCTGTCAGTCTAGAGCCTCTTGTGGTGGACTTCGGTGCCTGCCCTGGGCCGGAGCCCCCCAACCCTGTTCCCTTGTGCCTGAGGAACCACACGAAGGGCAAGATCACAGTGGTCTGGACTCGAAGGTCTGACTGCCCCTTCTGGGTGACCCCAGACACCAGTGATGTGCCCCCACTCAAGTCCACAGCCATGCGTCTGCACTTCCAGCCGTGTTCCCCCAACTGCCTCTATGCAGTGGAGCTTGAAGCTTTTGCTGTTTACAAGGTATGTGCATGCAGACCAGAGAAGGGGAAACTAGCTCCTTACCCAGAGGCTGAAAGTCAGGGTAAGGACACAAGGATGATGAAGCTACAGGGTCCATCTCTATGCCAGGCTTCTACTTTTCCCTTGACTGGACAGTGCCCTCTACTGGTTTCATCCTCCCAGGCTCATGACCTGACTTGAACTTCTGATCCTCCTGCCCCCACTTCTTGAATACTCCAATTGCAGATGTACACCACCATGTTCAGTGTATGTGATGCCATGATTAAACCCAGGGTTTGTGTATGCTAGGCAAGCACTCTACCAACTGAGCTACATCCCCAGCTCTCAAAGAAGTCTTCAATGGCCCCCATTCTCATATGTTAGTTGGGGCATGTGGAGGCATGTAGGAATAAACCTGCAGACTTCCAGTTGGTCAATCCTGAGCATATCAAAATTTAGATTACAAGCTCTAGACCTGTGCTGTTCCCTAAGGCAGGTACCAGCCAGCCACACTTGGCCAGTGAGCACTTGAAATGTAGCAGGTCCAAGTAGAGATGTGCTGTGAGTATAAAGTATACTCAGACTTCAAAGCCTTATTATAAAAATGTAAAATATCTCATTAATAGTTTTTTTGTTTGTTTGCAAACGTCTTTATTCTGCTCTTACACTTGATTGAAAGAATTACAGTTTAGAAATAGTTTTTCTGAGCCTAGGGAGATGGTTCCATTCAGTAAAGTGCCTACAGTCCAAGCACGAAGACCTGAGTTCATTCCCTAGAATCCACATTTAAAAGGCAGTGGCTAGAGAGATGGCTCAGCAGTTAAGAGCAATGACTGCTCTTCCAGGGGACCCAGGTTCAGTTCCTAGCACTCACATGGCAGATAACTACAGTTAGTCCTTAACTCCAGTTCCAGGAAATCTGATACCCTCTTCTGCTTCTGTGGGCATTGTACAAGTGCACTTAATACATATAGGCAAAACACTCAAACATATAGACATTTAAAAAGGCATGGTGCTCGTGTGCAATCCTGGTGCTCGGGAGGCTGAAAGAGATGGATTTGTGGAGCTCTCTGGCTGGACAGACTAGCTTAATTTGCAAGCTCCAGGCCAATAAGAGTCTCTGTCTTAAAAAAATAAGGTGGAAGCTGGAGAGATGGTCCACAATAAGAGCACTCTTGCAGAGGACCTAGATTCAGTTCCTAGCACCCACATGGAGGCTAACAACAGTACGTAAGTTCAGTTCCAGGGGATCCGATTCCCTCTTCTGGCCTCCATGGGTATTACATGGATGTGGTACACTTAGAAACATGCAGGCAAAACATTCATACACATCAAATAAATAAAAAAGTTTTAAAAGGTGGACAGCTCCTAAGGAACAACAACTGAGGTTGATCTCTGGCTTCCACATGAACTCCAATACATGTGCTTAAATATTCATACACATGTGCACCCACATGATCCTGCATACACAAATCATTTTCCAACTGGAATGGTGCCCCATGCCTATAATATCTGCCTCAAGTGACTGAGGCAGGAGGACTGTTATGAGTTTGAAGCCAGCCTGACTATACTGTGAATTCTAGGCAAGCCTGGGCTACTCTGTCTCCAAAACACAAAAACAGATTTTTCCTACAAAACCATTAAGCTTTGCCCCTTGTCATAATTAAAGCACTAATTATACAGAATGAAGAGAGTGTATTGAAAGCAGCTTGAGAAAAGCATCGAGTCATTGTAAAGACAGACCATCAGAGTAACAGCAGATTTGTCAACTAAAACTTCAAAAGCTGAGAGGCGTTGGAATGATGTGGTTTTAAAAAATATTTTATTTATTATTTTTATTTTATGTACATGCATGTATTGCCTGCATGGAGGTAAGTGCACCCATGTCATGCAATGCCTGTGGAGGACAGAAGAGGCTGTCAGATCCCCTGGAAATGGAGTTACGGACAGCTGTTAGCTGCCATGTGGGTGCTGGGATTTGAACCTGGATCTTCTGCAAGAACAACCAGTGTTCTTAACTGCTGAGCCATCTCTCCAGTCCCTGGAATGATGTATTTTAAGTTCTGAATTATATCAACTGCCAGCCCAGATTACTATCCCCAGCAAGGCTATCATAATTGAAGGAAAAATAAAAAACTTTCCAGGATAGAAATAAATTTTTAAAATTCATGAACTATAAACTAGGTCTAAAGAAGATACTTGAAGGAATTTTTCAGACTGAAAAAAAAATCCATCCATAAGGCCACAGGAAAGAATAAAGCATAAACCATTCTTTTTTTTTTGTCTTTTTGAGACAGGGTCTCCCTGCTGGCCTGGAACTCACTATGTAGACCAGGCTGGCCTTGAACTCACAGAGATCCACCTGCCTCTGCCTTCCGAGTGTTGAGACTAAAGGCATGCACCATCACGCCCAGAAAAATAATGAAATATTTTTTTAAAAAGAATAGCAGGAGCCAGGCATGGTGGCCATCACAGCAGCTGTGATTACTTGAACAAGACCAGTATAAGATCAAGTCAGTTAAAATTCCAGCAAGGATTAGGGAAGAGCTCATAAGGCCCACCCCTAGCTGAGGAGCTATTGACAGTTAAAGGCTGCTGGGAGAGGGAGTCATTTCTCTTTGGGAGTGTGCCCATTAGTAGGTTGCCCATGCTCTAGTGGATAGCCCTACACCCCTGTCATTAATAGTTTTTTTTAATGTTTTTATTACTTTTATTTTGTGTATGAGTGTATTCCCTGCAAGTATTTAAGTGCACCTATATCATGTAATACCCAAGGAGGTCAGAAGAGGGTGTCAGATCCCTGGGACTGGAATTACAGATGGTTGTTAGCTTCCATGTGGGTGCTGGAATTGAACCCGGGTCATCTGCAAGAGCAGTCAGTGCTCTTAACCTCTGAGCCATCTCTCCAGCCCCTATTAATAGTTTTTACAATGATTATTAGGTAAACTGAGTAGATTTTCTATCTATTGGGGAAAATAAAGTGTTATTGAAATTAATTTCACATATTTTTTAAACATGGCCACTGGAAACATTTAAAATTGCATTCTTCAGTCAGCATCTGTGGATCATGCTATATTTCCATTGGCCAGGCTTCTCTGGGCTCTTTCCAACAGAATGAATGCTGTTTTCACATCCCACCCCACCCTCCTCCTGGCCACTGTGGGAACTAGAAAGAAGGTGCTGAGTGCCAGTAGAGCCTCCAGCAGGAGACAGTGTGCATGGCTGTCTCTGCAGTCTCCCCTAGTCCCTCCTTTTTATGCTCAATGTAGGATGCCTACAGCACTGGGAGGGACAAGGTGGCTGCCTTCTAGGGTCAGGCCCTGGACTCAGTTTCTCTGTGGGCTGGCCCCCTGCAGGTCTTGCAGAACTACAGCAATATCGAAGAAGACTGCACTGTGTCCCCATCCTGGTGTCTGAAGGTGCGGGCTCAAGGTCACAGCTATCATGCTGCCTTAGAGCATCACATCCCCCAGTATTCCCTGGATGCACCCAAGGTGAGCCTGGCTTCAACAACAGTGGGAGCAGGATGAGGGACCCCAGCCTTCACATCCCTCTTTCCCTTTCTAGTGGCCACCTTGGGGTCTTGCTCCTGGACTGTGATCCTGGGGCAAGAACAGTCTAGGTGTTGGACGCCAGCCCTTCCCTGCTTCACCTGGACTACCTTCCTACTCTTCAGCGCCTTCATTTGTCAGTATCCTGCTCATTGAGCACCTGTTTGGTCCCAAGTTCCAAACTAGACCCTAGGAGGAAATAGAACAATCCGAATCATGAGCCTTGTCCTTCAGGAGCATGCTTCTAGAAGTAAGAATTCCCAGACCTTTCCCTCAGGTCCTTGGAAGACTTGTCTGACCTGAGAGGCAGGATGACATAGGGCTGAGAAGTGCATGGCCTAGGACCAGGATACCAGCTGCCCATTCTGCTGTCTTTTCCCAGCTTCCAATGCCATGGTCATTTTATTCCCTAGTCTTATTCAGGGTACCACTCTGAAAGGATGGTTTCAGACCACCCTTTTCCTCTTTCCAATTGCATTTCTGTTCTCCAATCTGTAGCCTGTGCCACCCTGATATCCATCTCAGGGAAGCCCGTTCATAAAGCTCTTCCTGACTGTCAGAGTGTTCCTCATTGATGCTCCTGGCCCCTTGTCAGCTCCTCCCAGTGACTTGTGACCTTTCTGTAGTCCAGCTACAGCCCATGCTGCTCCCACAGTGATACACACGTATATGTTGACCCAGCTGGAAGGGAACTTGGGCCAAGGATTATGGGCCTTGTGTAGCCTGCTTAGCTCTTAGCTTAGTGCTGGCCACATCTGAGATGCCCAAGATGTGTTTAGTAACTGGGACTGTTGGGGCTGGCTTCCCTCTGCCACCTGAGTGAAAACCATCTAGAAAGAGCTACCAATCCCCAATCTTCTGAATCAGGATGACTGAAAGTATTTCTCCAAAGAGCACTCTACAGAGAAACTGCTCCTCTAAACCTGAGGACAATCCTTTGAGGTGTGACTTTCCCCAGGATCTGTGGCTACCACATTCTTGTGTCTGGAGGTCTTGGAGGACAGAAGTATTCTATGGCCTCCTTTAATTCCTAGAGTGCTGGGTGGGCTGTGTGCAAGCATCTTGGGTCTTCTTAAAGACAGAATCACCCAAGCCCTGAATGTATATCTAAGGATGGAGATCTGAGCAGGGGTTCCCTTCTCTCTTACTCTTTCCCACCCCCAGCTGTTTCCTGCAGTGCCCTCTGGAGAGCCCTCCTACCGAAGCCTACTTCTAGACAACAAAGGCCCCATGCTTTTGACCTTCAACCTGGTTCCCAACAGCAGCTCGGATGTCACCCTACGACCCACCTCTGGCCTCGTTGCCCCTGGGGCCCACCAGGTCTTCCTCATCAGCACCAACCCCAAGGGCACCTCATGGAAGCAGCACATTTTCTACCTTCAGTTCAACTTTTACCCCCAGTATCTCAAGGTGGGAGGCAGAACGAGAGATAGGGGTTCCTAAGGGTGGGATTAATCAGGGATTTATTTTTTTCAAAACCACATTCTGGGATTGTCCTGCTAAAGTACCTGGGGGGCAGGCATTCCTTTAGTAAGTACCATTGTAGGGAGATAGCTCTTGGCTCCATCAGTGACAGCTCTGCCACTTCTCGGTGCCCTGTCTACCTCATGGAGTTTGGACCAAGAAAAAAGCTACAGAGATCCAAGACCCATACCTACAGGTTGTAGAGGCATTTGCAGCCAGCTGAGGAGCAGGGCTGGATGGTAGACCCACAACTCATCCCAGGAAACATATGTAACCTCTCCGTTCATGAGGGTTTGCCATTTGTTTTATTTTTAAGGCAGTATCTCATTATGTAGTCCAGGATGGCCTTAAACTTATTATATAACAGGATGGCTTTGAATTCATGGTAATCCTCCTGCCTCAGCTATTCTGTGTTGGGATTTTAGGTATGCACTACTGCACCTAGCTCTGAGTTCTTTTCAATCTGCCTTCGACGGAAGCTGCTATACCCAGACTGGCAAGGGTGGAAATCTGCACAGCTGTGATCACTTAGACATGTAGGGGAAGCCAAGAGGTCATGATACTGTCCTCCTTCCTTCCTCTGGCCCAGGAAGTGAGTATGCAGAGCCGAGAGGAACCACTGGAGCTGAAAGTGGACACCTGCAAAAGCATCTTCTTCAAGCCCACATGGGTGGGTTGCTCCTCCACCAGTGCCTTCACCTTCCACAACCCCTCACGGCTGCCCCTGGAATTTGAGTGGAGGGTCTCCCAGCACCACCGAAAGATGTTGGCAGTCCAGCCCTCCAGGGGGATCATCCATCCTAACGAGAACCTTGTGAGTGCCTGGTCCCATTGCCAAGGGTAGAGAAGAGGGTACTTGTCACCTTACCTTTGCCATCTCTTACTGTGGCTCTCATGGATTGCAACATACACCCACCAATTGAATCCATAGTCACTTCTCCCTGCCTGTGAATAGGCGTTTGTATTTCTTTCCTTTTCTCCATCTTACAGGAAACTGAGACTTACTGGGGAAGAGTTTTCTATTAAGATCAAGGTTAAGAAGTGTAGAGTTGGGACTTACACAGCACTTGGGATGCTAGGACCCAGGACATGTCCACACTCCATCATTCATACTATTCTGGTTGCAAAATTCCTGGCAGGCAGTTTGAATCAGCTGGATGTGGGCCATACAGGTGGCTCTCAGTGAGTGGTATGGAAGGAGACACCCAGAGTTTCCAGCTCAGTACAAAAGGGGGACACAAGCTGGCACCTAAAACAACAAACTTTGTCCTTAATCTTAGGGAAGTCAGACTCAGCAAGATCTACTAACACACAACATCTATAAAACCTCAAGGATGGGGAAATGGGAGTGTAGAGATCACACAGGAGCAGGAATTTGTTTGAGGTTCTGCCCCAGCTCCCATTATCAGCTTTCTGACCCTGGTTCAGTTACCTCACTTCGCCAAGGCTCCCATTTCTCATCACAAAACAAGTCTAGAAAATAACACTACTGATCTGTCAAGGAGGTATAGGACTGAGGGGCTTTGGGAGATGAGCTAATATGATGTGTATAAAAGTGCCCAGCACTTTTTTCAAAAAAGGCAGATTAAAAGTGTTTACCAAAGCTTTACGCTCTGCAATGAGGCCTCTATCAGCCAGAGTCCCAAGAGGGGGGCTCCTAGACACCCCCATGCAGGAATCATCTCTATGACCCCAGACACTGACGTGGATCTTCAGCCCTTTGGAGGAGACCAAGTACCTGTTCCGAGTGGGGATGTGGGTCTGGGAAGCCAAGCTGCCCCCCAAAACCAGTTCCAGAGCCACCATGCACTACATGATTCGGCTGGTGGGCATGGGCATCACCAGCTGCCTCTCAGTGAGTGGAAGCCCTTGTTGGGGACAGACCCAGGATAAGGGGGCAACCATAAGAGGGCAGGGGACAGGGTACAATTCTCCTTGCCCACAATCCTAGCTCTGCCTTTCCTTGGGGGATGCTCTGAGGGCTGAGGGTTGGGAGAGCCCCCAGCACCTAGCTGACTGTGATCTCAGGCAAAGCAAAAGGAGTTGGACTTTGGAAACGTGCTGGTGAATAGCCAGGAGGTCAGATCTTTGGTGCTTCTGAACAATGGCAACTGCACCCTCTATTACCGCCTGGTCCTGGAGCAACACAGGCCCAAGGACTTCAACAATGACCCCTCTGGTATTGGGGCCTGGGCTGGGTCTGGGACCAAAGTCTGTGTGTGTGTGTGTGTGTGTGTGTGTGTGTGTGTGTGTTTGTGTGTTTGTGTTTTGGGGGATACTTCTGAAGACAGATAAACTATACCATAGAGTAGGTCAGGCAGGGCAGAGTTGAAAACCCCGTACTCCAACTTTCTAGCTGTGTGGCAGGTGTGTCAATGACATCTAGAAATGTGGTCCTTTCTGTCCCAGCTCTGTTTTCTCTTTTCCAACTTAGGCCTGTTCTCAGGCAGTGTTGTGGTGGCCTAGGGGAGGGGATCTGTGAAGAGTAGGAGAGGCCAGGCCACCTCTACCCATTACCTACTGCCCACTGATCTCACCTGCACCACCCCCAAGCAGCTCTACAACTGGACCGCTCAGAGGGGACCATGCCTCCTCACTCCCAGGACACCATCTGCCTGACTGCCTGTCCCAAGCACCGATCCCATTATTCCTGGACCCTCAGCTACTCTCTCCTGTCCCACCGAGGTACCTGGGTCCCCAGCAGTCAGGGCCAGGGAGGGGAGAAAAGAAGTGGGGAGCTGTGAAAGACAGAACAAGAAGCATGCCAAAGTTCAAGACAGCTGGCACAGTGAATTGGGGGAAGACTGGACTGTGCCTTTGGGGTCTGGTACATATGCTGCACCTGTCTATGTGGTATCCATACACATGTCCCTGAGCTGTGGAGATGCAATCTGAAGAGTTAGGAAATGCGCTGCTTTCTGTTGGGATCACAGGCAAATCATCAGTTGGGCCTCAGCTCTTTGCTCCATGTGATGGAGTTGTTACTAGTTTACCCTGCAGCAGCTGGAAGTTCCTGGAACAGGTACCAGAAGAATGAGCACTCAGTGGTGTTGGATCCTGATTCCTTGCCACTTATTAGCTTGTGCTCTTAGCCAGCTGCCTCATCTAAGTATGCCTCAGTTTTCCTATCAATAAAAGGGGAATGATCATGACATACAGGCCACAAAAAAGAATGGAGTAATAACATAGACCACCTCATAGATGAGCTTTGAAAACATGGCAGTAAGTGAAAGAAGCCAGTCAGAAAAAGCCACACATGGAATAATTCCATGTATTTGAAACATTCAGAATAGTCTGTATATACAGATGGAGAGTAGATTCATGATTGCCAGGGGATGGATGAGGAGTAGACTGGGAGAAAAGACTAATTGGTATTCAATTTCTTTGGGAGGCAATGGAAACATTCTAAAATTAATGGTTGCATAACTTTGCAAATAAACAAAACCCACTGGATTGGATGTGTTAAAAGAGTAGTTTTTATAGTCTATAAATTATGCTTCAATATAGTTTTGATTGAAAATGAATTTGAAGGACTGAAGAGAGAGTTCAGTGGTTAAGAACAGTTGCTGTTTTTCCAGAGGACCTGGGCTTGATTCCCACATCCACATGGTGGCTAACAACTGTTGGTAATTCCTGTTCCAGAGGAATCTGATGCCCTCTTCTGGCCTCTACAGGCATTGCATGACATGGGTACACTTACATACATGCAGGCAATACACTCATACACACACACACACACACACACACACACAAATAGTTAAAAAAAAGAAAATGAATTTGAAAAATACTGGCATACATTAAATGCCAGGATATGTGTAAGGCACTTAGAACAGTCACTGACACATAGAAAGTCACAGACAAGTGTTGGCTGCCACTGGGAATGTCCCCAAGCCTGAAGAACAATCACTGCTGCTCATTAGAGCTCTATTCCCACTCTCAAAGGAGCAGAGAGGTGAGTCCTCTTCTCTCTCCCACACCTACACCCCCAGAGAACCAGGTTGGTGAGAAGCAGGAGCTGTGCCATGTCTCCCTGGTGGCTGTTTACCCCTTACTCTCCATCCTGGATGTGTACTCCATGGGCAGCGCTGAGGGCATCACTCGGAAGCACCTATGGCATCTCTTCTCCCTGGACACACTCAACAGTTACTTGTCACGTGACCCCACCCCCCGGGAGCTTACCTACAAGGTGCCTACTCGGCACAGGTGAGCCAGACTGGATGGTTAGGCAGGGCTTCCTGGAAATGTTCACAGTGCTATCTGCTAACACTCCAGCACCAGGCCCTGGCCAAGTAGCTGTGCCTGAGGGGTCCCCCAAATTCTTACTTATTCCTGGAAGGACCTGTGAAGGCAAGGATTGACTTGAGGGGTAAAGGGCTACCTCATTGCTCCGAAGTTTCAGATTTTCCATTTTGTACCCGGGAATGGACACCCAAGGAGCACTGCCATGTCCCCACCACCCGCTCTAAGCCTGTTTTCTCCATTTCATACAGCATGGGCCACGTGCCCCCTGTCTTCACTCCTTTGAAGCTGGACTTCAATTTTGGGGCGGCACCACTCAAGGCCCCACCCTCAGTGGTACTCCTGGTCATGAAGAACAATGGATTGGTGCCCTTGGACTGGTATGGCTGGGCAGAACGGGGCTACTGCAAGGGTCTATAGACCCTATAGGCCAAAGATAGAGAAGAACCATTCCTTGGGTCTTCATGGGAAACCTGGCTACCTGAGGTCCATGAGGCATGTCTCTCACTGACAGGGTAAAAGGATCCAGAGGAAACTGAGGTCACCCATAGCACTCGGGAAATGTCACTGGCTACAACTTGTCAATAGGTCCTAGGAACGTATGGAAAACTGGGCATGGCTGTTACAGTAAGGGAATGAATGTTACATTCCAGACACTGTGTTCTACCAGCCTTCAATCCTAGCTTACAGTGGTCCTGTGAGAAAGAACTCTCCAGATTTATTCCAGACAGGGCCTGAGGGTCACTTGGACTAAAGACTCAGCTAAAGCCACACAATTTTTAGAGGACACAGTCAGACCAGCTGACACCAGTTAGTCAGGAAGAAGGCTTTGAGTTGCTTCTACACATCAAGAGTATCTAGGTACTGGGCTGCCTGACAGATCCCAGTTCGGGGACTGGGGCCAAAAGGAGGCAAGGCAAGATCATCATGGGGAGACAGGGATCTGCTGCCACAGAGGGATCCACCACTAGGGGGCATTGCTGAACAAAGTTACCCAGCTGCCCGAAAAGTGAGTGGAGATTACAGAGCATGCTCACCTCACAAGTGAGGTGGAGACCTGAGCCTGCCAAGCCTGGCCATTCCTGTGCCCCTCTGTCCTCCCATTGAGGCCCAGAATTCATGTCCAGCAAGCCTCCTGTTTGCATGCCAAGTTTGTTCTTCTTCTTGTCTCTGTGCCTGAATTTCCTAGGAAACATCCTTTTATATGCTTTCAGCTTTGGTTGACTAACAAGAGGTATAAAAGAAGGGTCCCTACTTGGTGAGAGTCAAGGCCCAGCCTGGACATGTCAGGGCCCAGCCTCGATATGGTAGTTGTGGTAGAGGGGTGAGTGAAAAGATGCAGGCCAGGGCATCTGTGGTCAGAACCTGCTGGCTTAAGTAGAGGACATCTCAGGTGTATGGTGCGAAGGAAGGGTGCTGCACTGACAGGCATACAGTGGACACCTGTACTCTCTGGCTGTCCCACACTTGCATGGTGGAGTGAGATGGAGAAGCTGATTAGGTGGCAACTGTCTTGTAAAGGTAGGCCTCTGAGTAGCTGAGGAAGCTTGGCAGAGCTGTTGGCTTGGTTGCGGAAATCCAGGGCCTGCCTTGAGCTCCAAGTCTACTACTGTCTGGGCCCCTAAGCAGGACAGAAGCCAGACCTTGTAGAGCTCAGGACATTGGCCTGTGTCCTGGCAAGTTTGGGTGACCATGAGCAGCATGTGTTCCTGTAGGAGCAGCCTAGCTCACACTCTCTGTGGAGAGGGTCCAGGCTGTTGGAAACCAGGGTGGGAGGGACCCAGGCAGAGAGCCCACAGGACTGGATCCTGCCAGCAGGAGATCATTTTAAAGTACAGAAAACCTGGCCATGCTTCTTCCAGAAGCCTGACTCTCCTGTGCTTTTTTTGTTGTGTTTCCTTTCAATTTCTTAGAAGGCTATTTTTGTAAACTCTGCTGTGTCTCTGCTGAGCTCATAAAGAACAGATGGAGGCTTTTATTCCTGCTAGGCAAAGGTTGTGTGGACTTGCATGGAGGTGGTTCCTTTCAATTTCTTAGAAGGCTATTTTTGTAAACTCTGCTGTGTCTCTGCCGAGCTCATAAAGAACAGATGGAGGCTTTTATTCCTGCTAGGCAAAGGGTGTGTGAACTTGCATGGAGGTGTCAGCAGGCAGGGTGGAGGGAAACCCCCGAATGGGGGAGGAGCACTAGAGAGCCAGGATACTGCCTTTTCCCTCAGTCCTCCTCCTGCCATTTGTGCTCTGATTGGCTCCAGGATGCAGACACATAGGGCCTTGCTTTTAAGTGGATAGCCCCTTACAGATGTCAAAAATGCTACTTAGTAAATGTCATTTGTGGGGCTGGAGGGATGGCACAACTGTTAAGAGCACTGGTTGTTCTTGCAGAAGACCCAGGTTTGAATCCCAGCACCCACATGGCAGCCAACAACTGTCCGTAACTCCAGTCCCAGGGGATCCGACAGCCTCTTCTGACTGCTGCAGGCATTGCACAACATGGGTGCACTTAGCTACATGCAGACAATACACGCATACACATAAAATAAAAATAATAAAATTTTTTAAAAAGTTTAAAATGAATGTAAATTTTTTATGGGTGCACTTAGCTACATGCAGACAATACACGCATACACATAAAATAAAATAATAAAAATTTTTAAAAAGTTTAAAATGAATGTAAATTTTTAAAAAATGTGATTTTTTTCAGTCATGCACTTTTTATCTCATTGGCTAAACCTGTTCTGGGTGCCTCCCAGGAACAGGCTTCAGATTGAACCTCCGAATAGCAATGTAGACCAGTCCAGTTCCTGCCCTCCAGCTACAACAGAAGCCCAGGGCAGAGCAGCCTTCTGGGACAGTGTAGTGCTCTGTGAAGGAGGAATGCATAGCACTGAGGGTCATTGTCTCTCATTGGTAGGGTGGTGGTGGAGAGATCAGAAAGACTTTCTGGAGGGCTAAGCGTCTGGTCAATGGTAGAATGCTTGCCTAGCATATACAATCCCCAGTATGGTAAGGAGGAAGAGGAAAAAGAGGATGTGAAGGAAGAGGAGGAGGAGGAGGAGGAGGAGGAGGAGGAAGAGGAGGAAGAGGAGGAGGAGGAAAGGGAGGAGAGGGAGGAGGGCTTACTAAAAGGAGAGAAAACCTTGTTGCAACTGGAGACCTAGACAGAAGCCAGGGCATAAAAGGACTAGAATCCTCCAGAGAGTTTGGACTTCTTGCTGAGGGATTGCCCAGATGTGGGCTGTAGACAGGGGCGAAGGCCTGATCAACTTTCTATGACATGTCACTCTGATCTCCAGGGTAGGATGGGTTAGGAGGCTGTTACTGTTGTAGACTGAGGAAGAAAGCCGCCCACATTAGAGCGGGTCAGGGGAAGGACACAGGAATCATTTAGTCAGGAGACCAGTTGAGGAAGTATGTATTAAGTAGAGGTGGAAACTCCTTGGAGGATCCTGAAATATCAAGGGTTCCAACTCTACACCCATCAACATCTCCCAAATAAAATGACAGCAGTTCACTCACCTGCATCAAGCCAACCCATATAGGTGACAGGAGAAAAGAAAGAATCCAAATCCCTGGTACAAGTCTACTACTGGGGTGGCCAGAGTTTGGGAGTGTACTCTGCCCTCAGCATTTGTAACACACACAGACACTTGGGTGAGCTACAGAGTGATTCTTTCCTCTCTGGCTTTGTTTTGTTTTGTTTTTGTATAGTGATGACATGATACTATACATATTACCCTCTGGAAAATAAGTTCGGTCAGCATCCTATCAACAGTAATCCCTCCACAATATGTGCTGCAAAAGAGAAATGCACATGTAGTCCAGTACACAGAGATCTAGCACATTCTTTTTATCACTTGCATGATCCATAATATAGGGGAACTTAAGTTATTAAGCAACTCCTTTATTAGAAGATTTGTTTACAAGTTGTTGTTGGGGTTTTTGCCACTATATACAAAATTACACTTAAAAAATATGTGGGGCTAAGATGGCTCATTGGATAAAGTGCTCACTGCACAAGTCTGAGGACCTGAGTTCAGATCCCCAGAACCCATATAAAATGACATGATAGCACATCATGTCTGTATTTCCAGCACACCTATGGCAAGATGGGAGGTACAGAATGGATAATCTCTGAAGCTTATGGGCCAGCTAGCCTGGCTCTCCAGTGATAAGCAAGACTCTGTCTCAAAGAAGGTGTAATGTGAGGGCTGACACCCAAAGTTGTCCTCTGACTGCCATATGCACACTGAGGCACATAAATGAGCACACACACACACACACACACACACACACACACAGATTTCTTAAATGTTTAGTTTGGGCTGGAGAGAAGCTCAGGCTCATAACCAAAAAATGCTTGCTGTAAGGCACATAAATGAGCACACACACACACACACACACACACACACACACAGAGAGATTTCTTAAATGTTTAGTTTGGGCTGGAGAGATGGCTCAGCTGTTAGAAGCTCAGGCTCATAACCAAAAAATGTTTGCTGTATGTGTCTGTGTGTGTTAATACCTTCATGACTTTAATCATATAGGTTAATTTCTGAAAAATGGGACAGCTAGATCAAAGGACGTGTACATGTTTTAATAGATGTTGCCAAAATTCTTTCCAAAAGGCAGCAGCAGTTCTGTCTCTCCTGCCTTTGTTTGAGGGTCTATTCTTTCTAAACTGCTCAGAGCTGGATCTCTTTTTACCATTTCCCATGTGAGAAGAGCTGGGCTTGACTCCTTGTGAGTTTCGGATGAGTTTCTTTGACATCTGTCCACTGTGTCAGCTGCACTTCAGCTGTTGGCCTTCCTTTCCTGGATGCTTCCTGCTCAATCCCTGGCCCAGTTTGCTGCTGAAGCCCATTCTCCACCATCTCTCTGAGTGCAAGTCCTATGAAACTGTAACCTTGGGAATCTTTGTGACTAGTTTTGCTAGCTAGTTGAAGTGAGATATCTACTTTCCTGCAATGTGAGGCAATGCAGGATTAACTCGACATACTCTCTTGCATCAGGAGCACCAGCCACCAGGCACCTGTTCTCTACTCTGTGCTCAAATTAGCCTCAACACTTTCCCTCTCAGGGGTCCTGAGGTGGTGCTGTCAATATTTCTAGGAGCCTCAAATGGCCTCTTCCTAAGAGCTTATGGAAGAGAGGCAGTGGCCAGTTCTGAGTGACTCACATATACAAGCGACACCCTTGACCCCTAGTGTCCCAAATGGGAGCCCCAATCTTCATTTCTCCTTTCTTCACTCTGGCTCTACTTCTGTCCTTAGTTGTTTTTTGTTTTCTTGGTTTTTCGTTTGTTTGTTTGGTTTTTGAAGGACTTAAAAGGTTTTTATTTATGTATAAAGACTAGCATGATCTCTTTCATTGGGTAGATGGTCTTCCATAATCCAGTCAAGAAAGGTCACTTAATACATCATAATGAAGCCTACGTCCTTCACATACTGAAAGAAACACTGCTAGCACATATTTAGTCCATATTTCCAGATCAAATCAGACTATATTGGTTTGAGCAGTCATTTTGAGAGTGAGCACACTGAATTTTCTCAGGTGACTCCAGTAGAGCTTCTGGTGACCCATCTTGTCTTGTCTTCAGACACCCAGCAAGGGAAAAAGCTGTTTGTTTTTAGACTCGCTAACCCAGGCTAGCTTGGAACTCCGTGTAGCCTGGGCTGGCCTTGACTTGCAGCAATCCTCCTGCCTCAGTAACCCAAGAGCAGGTGTGAGTCAGCATGCCTGGCTAGTCCTAGGTTTAGGGACCATTATAAAAGGAGAACCCACCCAGCCACATTTACTCAGTGGACATGGGTCAACTTACAACATGGGGGTGTGATGTGCAGGAGGCATGGCTAAGGCCTCTGTCTGTGCGTGGGGCTCAGAACTCCCTCTCTGTCTGACTGACCTGTGCTTTGCATGGTTTCACTCTTCTTGCTCACAACCCTCTCCAGGGCCTTCCTCTTTCCGAGTGACCAGCAGCTCGACCTGGAGCTGTTGGTAGAGCAAGCAGAGCTTAATTGCACTGAGCTTCACCAAATGCGAGCAGAGGACAACTGCATCTTCTCCATCAGTCCCAAGACTGGCAGCCTGAACCCTGGGCAGGAGCAGATGATAGAGTTAAAATACAGGTGCTTTTCCACCCCCTATGCTGCCCTTCCCATCCAGGAGATCCCTAGCTCCGACCTTTCTCTGTAGGGTTCCAGGGTACCTCAGGTGATCCCCTGGGGAGACCATCCCCTGTAGGGGAAGTCTGTGTCATTCCTGCCTCATCCCAACTCAGAGGAGCCTGGCTAGGTTTTAAAGGCACAGGCATGCTATGCCCACTTGTTCTCCCACTCGAACCAGACTCTGGAATTCACTGTAAATATGTCTTCTCCTTCCAGCCATCTGTTTATTGGCACTGATCGTCTCCCTGTGCTCTTCAAGGTGTCCCATGGTCGGGAGATCCTGGTAAAACCTCAACACCCTGGTCTTGCTGGGGACTAGCTGGAGGAGGAGGCTCTGTGGACAGCCAAGAGAGGAGCAGGGAGTGGTGCCCCCTGGGAATCTGGGGCCCGGATCTGTGCTGGCTGTGCCAGTTCTTCCTGGGCAGGGTGCCATCCATGGGCTCTTTATTTTCAGCTGCATTTCATAGGTGTGACAGTGAGGCTGGAGCAGAAGTATGTGCACTTTACTTCCACCACCCACCAGTTCATCCCTGTCCCTATTGGCGACACACTGCCCCCACGTCAGGTCAGTGGTCTGTGTGATCCTGATTACCAAGAGGTCTAAGTGTTGATCTCTGCATATCTGTGACAATCTTTATAGAATGATGCACACTGTCCCACACTGGACAAGTGTAGAGACCCAAAGCCAGAGGTTTCCTGTACTAAGCCCTTCAGCCAGGCTCCATTCCCATGCAAAAGTGGGCTTTTCCCCTTTTAACACAAGGCTCTTCCAATTCTTTGACGATGAACTACACTGATCACTAATATATTTTATATCACATGTACTTATGCCTCAGTGTTTATGTGCAACTAGAACAGAGTAATGCAAATCTGTACTTGGGCTCCTATGTACAAAGTACACGGATGATTTTATTTGATCCCATTTTTTAAATGCTAGATAGGATTGATTTAGCTCATTTAGACCTGCTTGCTGATAATTTTCAGCCACAGTTTAAAAATCACTGCTCCTAGAAGGACAGCTCTCTATACTTTTCTTTCTTTTTACTTATGTGTATGTGTGTGTATGTGTTCATGTACATGTGTGTGAACATGTGTATGCACATGTGAGGCCATAGCTCGACAGTTTTCTTTATCATTTTCCACCTTATTATTATTTTTGTTTTGAGACAGGATCAAGCTCACTGAACCTGGAGCTTGCTGATTAGGCTAAATTAGCTGTCTCTCCTTCCCCAATGCCACGATTTTAACTATGCACCACTATGCTCAGCTTTTCTTATGTGCGTGGTGGGGATTAAACTCAGGTTTTCATGCTTGTGATGCCATCGCTTTACCGACTGAGCTATCTCCCAACCCTTGACTTTTTCTTAGCTGGTGAAAGAGAATATACTTTTGCTTTTAAAATGTACACTGAGCAGATGTGGTGCCACACACTTTTAACCCCAGTATGTGGGAGGCAGAGGCAGGAGAATCTCTGAGTTGAGGCTATCCTGGTCTATATAGTGAGTTCCAGGCCAGCCAGGGCTATGTAGTGGGACCCTGCCTTTAAAAAAAAGTATAATGGAAATCTCCAAGAGGAATCATACTATTTTCCCAAACCTTTCATAGCTGGGAAGTCTCCAGCCATTGTTTGTGATTAAGGGTCTTGATCCACTTAGCCTAAAGGTGAAGTAACAGGCTTCCTGGGTCTGGGAAGAGGATCTCCAAACCCCCAGTTCTGTTCCCTTCCCTATACCACCCTCATCCCTATGGCTTCCCAGCAGTTTCAGTCAGGGTCTTGACAGAGAAGCTGCCTTGAACTATAGAAAACATGCAGTGTGTTCTTTGTGGGAAGGTGATAAACTGAAGCAAGGAGGAGGGTATACACTGAAGACTTTGGATTTGGCTAGTTTTAACAGGCTCTACCAAGAAAGCTTGTCAGGAGACAGTGGACACCAGTTGTCTTAGTCCATTCTGGCTGCTATAATAAGCTATCATAGATGAAAAAACAGAAATCTGGGGACTGAGGAGATGGCTTAATCATCAAAGTGCTTGTTATGCAACCCTGAGTTGAAATCTGTACCACCCACACAAAAAGCCAGATGTAGTGGCATGTACCTATAATCCCAGTGTTGGGAGACAGAGACAGGAAGCTCTCTGGGGCTCTCTGGCCAGCCAGTCTAGCCAATCTGTGAGCTCCAGGTTTAATGAGACCCTGTCTCAAAATGGAGAGTGATTGAGGATGATACCTGAAGTTGACCTCTGACCTCTGGCTTCCAAATAATTGTGTATTTTATACAAACATTTACAGAAACAGGGAACAGAAAGGGACAGAGACAGAGAAAGAAAGAGCCAAAGACATCTATTTCTTGTAGTTCTAAAGTTAGGAAGTCCAAGATTCAAGTGTCTAGTGAGTGCACGCACTCCTGGCTCATACATGGCACCCTTTCCATGTGCCTTCACAAGATAAAAAAGGCAAACAGGCTCCCTGAGGTGTGCATGAATCTCATTCATGAGGTCTCCACTCTTATGACATAATCACTCCCTAAAGGACTGTACCTCTTTTTTATTTTATTATTATTTTAGCCCCAGCTGGCCTAGAACTCGCTATGTAGATCATGTCTCAATCTCATAAACATCCACCTGCCTCTGCCTCCTGAGTGCTGGGATCAAAGGCATGTACCACCACACCCAGTAGGACCCCACCTCTTAATACTACTACACTGGAGATTAGGTTTCATCCTGTGGACTTGGGTGTGGGATGGACATAAATATTCAGCCATAGCACCAGTTCTGGAGATGAATGGGATGGGTCAGACTAGAGAAACAAAGTCAGCATACTCAGGAGTGAGGGCTGAGAAAGATGGGAGAGGCCCAGGACCAAACCCAGGTTTATACTTTGCTTCTTCCTGGCTTCAGTTTTCTTATCTCTAAAAAGAAGTATTAGATCAGAGCATCTCTGTTTGCTTCCAAGACATCCTTTGGAGTCAGTCTTCAGAACCTCTCCTCCCTGCCTCTATACTTTGAACAGGACTTCCTCTAATAGTAGCTATGGAAAGTACCAGTCTCATGGGGACTTGAATGAAAGTCTGTATAATCATGAAGGGTCTGGATTATA